AAAGAGTGAGGAAGAAGAGGTTCACAAAGGCTAAGGCTGGGGTTCACAGGGGTAGATAAAAACTAAGAGTCCCTTGTTGCTCTGCATAACTGGAAGTTTGCCTGCTGTATTTCTTCAGCAGCTGTGCAGAGTTCCAAATTGGTGTATGCAGAAGTCAAGCTTATTAGAGGGCGGGTTGCTTGGTTGGTGGGTTGGTTGGGTTTTTATTAAAACACTCAGTCAATTTACAGCTGCTTTGCGTGGGCTCTGTAGCATAGTAGATGGGATTCATCCCAGTGCGAAAGGCTCTGCTCTCCGGCTTACAAGGAGCAACCTGGCCTCTAGGAGCAGAGGAGTCCCATGAAGGGCAGCTCAGTACAGGTCCAGATGCTGGAGGAGCTTTGAGTCCCAGGGAGCTGCACAAATACCCCAAGGAATCAAAGGGAAGCAAGAGCATCCAAAGCGGTCCCCTCAGCTATCTGTGCTTCTCTTCAGTCCCCTGGGCTCTCCCTGGACAGTCAGCAACACAGTCTCTGCGAGGACCATAGTACTAAAGGCTGACTCCCTCCTATAAAAGGGATTTGGAGGAAACAGAAACTGGCCTAAGAGATGCTGTAGATGAAGAACATGCAAACTGCTGGGTATATAACAAGATGGACCTCAAGGGAATTACCTGCAGAGAAGCAAACTACCTCCAGCTTGAGCAAAGAGGTAGAAGTGCTGCACTTGTCCCCACCTGATGCTGTTCTGCAAAGGATAAATTCTGCTCTGCCTGTGTTCTGATGGCCACTGCCATCTGGCTGCATAAGTATTCACATGTGGAGTAATTAGTTTCCTAGCATAATTCTAACATTACTTCTGTTAATCAAACTACTAAAATGTATCCAGCTGAAATCATGAGACTACACTCTATTGGGGTAATTGGTTTATTGCTATGGGCCATGCCAAACCCAAGTCCTTGAATGTGTACACAACCAACACATACAACCACTTTGTTTAGCTTTTGACTTCAGCTAAATTAGTCTTACTAGTGCAGGTTACCTAGTTCCAACTGTATTCTTTTTATTTTATTTGCATTTCTGATAGGGTAAAAGGAGACAAATGATAGCTAGTCTGTACCCTGCTTTTATGAATGTTGGAATGTATAGAGCAGAACAAACGAGCTACTCTACAGCTCTGAAGTGTGCCCCTACCTACTGTCCATATTTCTATTAGAAATTAGTAACCTGTATCACTCCCTGTGTTCTCCCCAAGCTATAACACACCAGGAACCGATACCAAAGCAACTATGAAAACCAAAACCAAGTACTGCAAACACTTCTAAGCCCCATTCAGAATTTATTTTAAACATGTGGCAATGGTTGAAGATTGGAAATATGTAAATTAATTTGAATTTCCTTCACAGAAGTTGGGAGTAAAGGCAAAGGTTCAATCCCAAAACAAACAACACCCTTTTGTTTTTAATACAAGTGAAAGTGGAGTGCCTTCTGTATTAAAATGATCATGGGATGTTTCCCAATATAAAAAACTATGTGCAACTTATGTACAGTATTCCCATACACTGCTCTGAGTGGCAATACTCGAAGCCAGTGCTATGACTACAACTATTAGGTTCGTAGAAGAGCACACTCAAGAGGAAATTTGGGGTCCAGTAGTACTCTAGCTGAGGTAGGTTAAAACAGACCCACTAACTAGAAAATCCTGCATGAGTTCATATGGTATTAAACAAAACTGAAAATTGTAACACAGTTGGTCTCGGCTGTTCTTTAAGAAACCAAGATGAGCGTAGCACAGTTATTCCAATGTCTATAAGTTTACTAATACGTTCCACTCCAGACTTTGAAGAAAGTACTGCTGCTTTCCCACTTAAACACTTATTTTTTCCCCGTCATTGGTTTTATTTCTCATTTCAGTCTTGACATCACTGAAGGTGCACTGCTGTTCTGCAGGAGAGGTGGGCTACAGGATGCTTGGTTAGTTACAGGCAGCACAGTGGCAGACTGCTTTTTGTCTATGCAATAGCCCAAGACTGTTCTGGGCTGCCTCCCCCTCCCCACAAGGGCTGTGCAATGGGATGACCCCATGGAGGATCCTGGCTGATCCTGGAAGCCTTGCCATCGCTCAGCACTACCTGAATAATGTGCTCTGGCCAGAGAGCAGAAGCGGACCTGCAGCAGGATGCTTGAGACGCTGGCAGGCTGCCTGAAGGCAGCCTGGGCTGTTTGTCCTGTGGCTGTGGTTTAATGCAAGGCAGTAAGCTGGGTTTTGCTTACAATATTTGTTTCCAGGTTTAATAATTACATGTCTGATAATAATATGCATGTGCGTATATGTATGCTTGGAGAGGAAAATTTGTGTAAGCAGCAAGATTTTTAAAAAGGAAAGAGTATATTGATGGGATTTAAGAGTTTATGCTTTTCTTGTTTGATAGCACCACACTTATGTAGGATTAGAGTGACAGAGTGTGAGATATGATGGGCTCCCACAGTCTGCTGCACCTTGTCCTTATGCATCGCTGCTATACGCACACACACACTTGCATATGTTAACTGGCTTCAGAGGAAAAGCAGCACACACCCAAATCAGTGTGTTTCTGACAACAGCACACAGGTGACATACCATGGCTGTAGGAAAAGATCCCTGTCAGTCAGACTCCAGTTGTCATGGGCAGCACCTGCAATGGCTGCTTGTTTTCATGGGAGATGACAGGCACAGGTTAAGTCTTGTTTGTAGAAGATTTATGTCCCAATCTAGAAAAATTCTTAAAGACAGATTTCACATTAATGCTACGAATCTCTCTCGCTCAAGTGTTTCAATAGGATCAAGACATTAATTAGCTCATACTACTCTAATAGAAAATTAAGGCTTCTGATCTCAAAGCTACATTGGCACTACAGCTGCCCAGGGCTTATCAGGATCAAGGCAGGAAAGCAGCATTTCTCTATATGGGATATTTTGCATGTGCCATATTTAAATAAATCTTTTATCAATTCAATTCAAAGGGATCTCCCCTCCACCATTCTTCAATTGTTGTGCTGATAACCACAATCAGATCTTCTGTGTGTGATAGTCTCCAGAATCACACCTACATAACAAATACCAAAATGTATCAAGGATAATTTTCTCTCTACTTTTCATATCTGAGTAGTGCAACTATTACATGGCAGTGTTCAGAAACCAATCTTATTCTTGTTGAAGGTAATGAGATAAGTTCTGCCTCTGAATTCTAGGGGAGTGTTATCCCACAGCTTACTGCAGTCTAGAGCCAGAAGGAATAATTAATGGTCATTTGACCCCCTGAATGTAATGGACAACCAGGAATTCTTGAGCACACAACCTCTATTTCAGCAGTCAAAACATACGCCTTCTTGATTTAAAGAATTCAGGTGGAAAGGGAATCCAGTTCACCTACTGGTAAATTGCTCCAACAGCCGTTGTTGCTCAGTCTTAGTCTTACCCATTTTTTCCAGGATCCCTAATATCTTTTAAGCCCAAATCCAGCCATGAGAGAGAAAATAACACTCATTTAACCTTTTGCTTTATAAATGTATATGTGTGTGTGCGCGTGTGTGGGTACATATGTATGCAATGCGGTGTAGATATGTTCGGGTACCCATCTGCAATCGAGTGCCAGTTCAGTGCTATGGCTGTTAAAAACGGAGTGGGCGAGCTGTAACCAGTGGATTATTCGGTGAGCAACATGCTGTGCAATGTTTTCAGTCAGGGAAGAGAATGTTTTTTTACTGACTTACTGAAAAGTGCTCAATCACACTGAGAAAGCTTACAGAATCCAGCACAGGGTCAGGCAGGGGCTTCGTTAGTTGCTGGGCAACTTGGGCTGTTTTATGCATTGTGGCACCTCCAGTCCTGTGTGCAGGGTCACCTGCACAAAGAAGAAATAACACGTAGATTCAAAACTGGGACATCCTTAGCAGAAAGCATTCATGAAGGCCAAGAGCAAGTAAATGACAGGGCAAGAGTTGTGGGACTTCATGTCCAGGTTTAAGTCATCAAGAATATTAATGGAGATGATATTGAGACCCTGAAATAAACAAGTCTCCTCCTCCCTTCACTCCTGAACACTTTGGGGTCTAGAAGCCAGGTGTCCATATCTCTTCCCAAATCCAGCCACCAGTTGTAGGTCTCCAGCAGTGCTGTTTGCTAGACACAAGGCAGATGGCATCTTTAGAATCATAGAATGGTCTGGTTTGGAAGGGACCTTCAAGCTCATCCAGTTCCAACCCCCCTGCCATCAGCAGGGACACCTTCCACTAGACCAGGTTGCTCAAAACCTCATCCAGCCTGGCCTTGAACACTTCCAGGGAGGGGGCATCCACAACTTCTCTGGGCAACCTGTTCCAGTGTCTACTTTGTGTGAGGGATACTGAGTGCTTCAGGATGGGGATCACATAGTGGAGCCCATGTACTAAATATAAGAAAACCCTTTTATCTTGGCTGTCCTGGCAGGACAAAGCACAGGAAGTTTTAGTGCTCCTTCTATAACCTGACATCTCTGCAAGGTCAGGGTTCCCACACTGATGTACCAGAGCACAATTCAACAGTAAACACAAGCTTAGTCTCAGAGTTTCCTCCTGCCCCCTTGTCAGCCTGACTCTGCCTTAACTCAGTTGTCATAAGAAATGTAAACCAAGTGCTTAAAGGATGTAGGTAGATAAATCTGAAGGTAGGTTGTGAGTAAAAATCTGTCTTGAATAATGCAGTGAAGTACCTAGAAAAGTGCCTGTGACTTCCACGCTGGTCCATCAAATACAATAAAGCTATGAAACCTTATTGAAAGATTTGTATGCCACCAGTAACAAATTATAAATGTTCATATACTAATAAGGCCACATGAGGTTAATGGTTTCAGTCTGGGTGTTTTAAATGATGAGTGTTCTACTCTGGCTGCACTGATCCTGCTTGACCTAAGCTGGCCTCCTTCAGTCCTCAAGCTCCTGGGTGTTTCCATAGGTTCTCCCTTACACTACATCCTGTGTCTAGCCATATGCAGTGGTCTTGAAGTAAAAATGCATTATACTTGAAGAGGGTTCCTCCAAGAGGAGATCCTCTTGAGAACAGACAGCAATCTCCAAAATTCACAAAGAGCAAGAATGATGTGCTGACTGGGTCTTCTCTATTGCACTAATGCTCTGATCTATGTTGTCTTTGCTCTCCTTACCACTGTGCTGCTCACCTTTCTGTCTCTTGCCAGTGTTAATAATCTCCAAGGAGGTATTAGGATACTCATGGTTTCTCGTCAAACTGGCAGAGGAAGCCTTAGCACCGCTGCTCTCCAAATGGAGCGTTGCAGCAAAATAAGTGCAGCAATTAGTGTGTGCAGGGACCTTTTCTTGTTTTTACAGCGTTACTCCTCACATCTGTGAGGCAAGGCAGAAGGTCAAATGCAATTTTCTGAGAAGTGTCAGTAGCTTAGGTGTCAGTCTGAGAAGGAAAGAGCCCCTATCCATACTGATGACATACCTACAGATGACATTATCAGCCCCAGCAGCAGTGGCTGGTAGCATACATTCTCCTTTAGATGAGAAGGGTAAGTGGCACTCAACTGAAGAAGACTTACCTGGACGTTTCGATTGAGGCTCAAGGCAGGCATGAAGACACCCTCGACATTTTCAAATGCTGGAGGCCCTTGCTGCTGCCCATTTATGTAAAAGGTCAGGTTGTGCTTGTTTAGATCCAGGAGAACACCAACAGTGGCACCTTTAGAAACTCCTCCTTCAGTCCTAAGGTACAAAGGGACCACACTGTTGGTGAAGGCAAGAGTGCTACACCACCGCTGCTCACTCTGACCAAGTGAAAGGAGAATGGAGCAGCACGGTGAAATGATTAACCCCACAGCATTTGGCAATGGCTGATCCACACCTTTATCTGAAGCATGTGTATCACATTCATGGGAGCTTAACCGGGGGATCCCAAAGAGTAATTAGGTCCACCTCGCCTCCAACTGCAATCTAAGAGCTGAAAATGGGGTCCAGAGCTAACAGATCCCCTTGGCTGATGAGAGATGGGGAGGTGAGCAGGTCAGGTCAGCACTGAGTGGGTGGGACAGAAGCCCTGGAGACACAGCTCCTCCGAGCACCCCTGCTATAGTGAAGTGAGGCATGTCAGGGAATGAAAAAGCAGAAAGCTGGTTTCCTAGGCGTTGGTTCCTAATCATTATGCCTGCTAACAGCTCGAAACTCAGACTTCCAGTTTGAGTACCCACCTTGGCATCCCCTAAGGGGATCCAGCTTCCCAGAGACCAGGGAGCCAGCACAGGTACAACAGATACTGGTTTCGGAGAGCAAGGGAAGGTGGGGCTGGTTAAGAGTAAGTGTAGCTCCCTGTCCAACAAGGTGCTCAGCTACAGGAGTGGGAGCTGTTTCAAGTGTGGAGGCACAGTTATTAACTCCAGTGATAACTGGCTGTGTCAGGAGCAGCTGCTGAAAGCTACTGTGGTATCAGAGCTTCCCAGGACAGGCTCAGCCAGCCATTACACACTTCAGCGACTTGACATTAATGCACTTTGATTTGGAGGTTAGTCAAACCCAGTATTACTTTAAAAAGCACTGAGCAAAAAAATCTACTAGATATGCAGATATGCCACAGGCACTGCTACTCTACTAATATCATGGGGGCTCTGTGATGGATTTAGAGCTTGACGCAATTTGTTCAGGGTAAATCAGATTTCAAATAATTTGCAGTAAGAAAGGAAGCAGCTGTCTTTTGTCCCATGCACTCCCCGCAGGCACACAACGTTCACAAGATTAATGCAATTTTAACATAAAATTTATCACAATAGGTAGGCAAAACACTAAAAAAAAGGCGAGGGGGGTGGATCAAAATATGATTAGGAAGAACAGGGTGCAGGGTAAGAAATTTTCATCTTGCCCACTAGATGTCACAAACTGGTCTCCTTTAGACTAAATGTGGCACATGGCATTTCCTCTGAAGGTAAATGGAGTTTTATCTGTGGCATAGTAGTATAGAATACTATCCTGATTTCTCCATTTAAAGCTCTTCAAACAATAATAATACAGCTGGGAATCATGGATTGGGCTCTCAGATGTGTTAAATTTCAAACTTTACTGTTCCCAGGTTCCTTCTATTTGCTTTCTGATCCTATACACATTAACAGGTTTCTCCTTGAGCTCTTCTCCAAAACGATAAATTATTTTCCAGCAAAAGTTAAGATGCTTACCTATGTTCAGTATCTCAGTATTTAGACTGTTTTTATTAAAAGCACTCAATCATAAAACACGTGATGAGATTGTGGGAAGCAACAGTATTATGATCTAGAGCTATTTAGAATAGATTACATTTTTTTTTCTCTCTGTGTAGGAACGGTTTTGATTGTAGGGCACCACGTTTTATATCCTGCAGTGTTTTAAAATAGATTTTATTACCTCCTTTTAGGTGACATTGATTCTCTTAGGGAAACAGAAACAGCAACTTCACCTTTTTGACATTATTCTGCTCTTTCCTGTATGATAAGCTAATTTGCTTCTTGTGGGCTAACGAGCTGTGTGCTGCACAGTGACATTGAGTGACTCCTCTGCAGCCCCTGGGGACAGCCCCACTGAAGAGGAGACGGATGCTGCCCGCAAAGCCCAGCCCAGGCCAGTGCAGGACCCAGCTGAGGCCCCTCCAGGAGCCACAGGGGCACAGGGCCAGAGCAGGGGGACAGGGGCCATCTCTCTTCCTTCCTGCCACAATTCTTGCAGGACTTCAGCGGGTAGATTGCCCCATCCCTTGGCCACCACCTCCCCACAGTGAGCAACCAGCCCTGGCAGGATGAAGGCAGGGCAAAGGTAAGGGGGACACCTGGCCATGCTGCTACCAGGGAGGCTGGACTTTCTCAGAGGTTGAACAGCTGCTCTTCCCCAGCATCCCAAGATTTCCTTGGGATCAGTACTTTGAGGACTCCAGTGCTTTTTGGACTCCTGTCATGGGTGGAAGAGTTAAAGTTTCATGAGCAAACTTATGCAAGGCATTTCCTCACTCTTCTGTACATCATTTAGACAGTATTACAGCATAATTTTTCGAATAAATGCCTTAGTTGCAATAAAAGAAGCCAACTAGCTCAAGAGAGTGAAAATGATGTTGCTCTCTTCTGGTACACTTCCGTGGCAGCATCTGAAAAGCTGCTGCTTTACTGTAATGCATTTTAAAAACTACTTAATGACAGTTATACTATAGGCCTCTAGTAATCTGCAGACCATGCAAAAGGAAAATAAAACTGTTACAATACTTCTTCAATAAATAGTTAGCATTCATTAAACAAGAACCCAGTTTTGAAGATACGCACCACTCTCTCATTATTTCAATCCCACTACTCACCCCTCTTCTCAGAGTCCTGCACATTTTTATTTCTGTGTGCAACGATAAGTCCTGAGTGTGGAAGTGCTGTGCAGGAGCCTGGAAGGTTGGAGTACAGATAGGGGAATTTAGCTACCAAAAAAAAAATGCCATTGCCTGTGGCAGTGGTAGCTGTTATTCTATGGTGCTTTCAGCAGCAGCTTGGACAATGTGCAGAACAGGACTGTATGGATTGGCATGCAGAATTAAGAATAGCAATAAGTTTCACTGTTATTGAAAAATAAAGCTTAGCAATTTATGAACATCTTAATGAACTGAAGAATTAGTTTAACTCTCTGTTAACAGTATTGTCATCATGAGCTTTACAGTAACTTAACAACTTTACCATGTCTATTGTCAAGGACAGTATTTTTCAGTCAATTATAATATTTTTGTGTGAGGAAAACCTGGTCTTGAGATCTCTGAAGTGAGAGGTGAAGAGACTGACCTGATCACAGGAGGCTTTAAGACTACATTCCAAATTATCTAGATTTTTACTTCCCACTGTCTTTCAGTATAAAACACTTCAGTGCAATTTCTGTCTCTTCCCTTACTTTCCTTCCTCTAGCCTCTATGTAGTGGCTAGAGTATCGCCTATAGCACCAGGTACCCCTGCTCTCGGGAACTTTGACAAGGAACAGACCTATCGCAATGAATGTCAGTGCCTCTTAGCAACGGGCATACAACCTCTCTGGTGTGAACTGATTATTTTCAGGAACAATGAGGCTGAAAGGTACCTCACGAAGCTAATATCCCTGCCCTAAAGTGTTTTCTTAGCCAGTTTGCTCAACTTATTCTCAAAGGTTCCCTCTGTTTTTGATAGCATTAGAATCTTCTGTTCATGCCTCTCTTTCTTCTAGCATTACAGAAATCATGTTAGTTTCTAAGGATGTAGACAGGTCCAATTTTGCATGCTGTGAGTGAAAGGAACAGAAAAGTACTCTAAACGTGACAGGTCCCACGAATAGGTCTTTCAAGCTCCACCTCAGCTTATCCTGGAAGCTAGTCATTTATTTATTGCCCTAATTTATTCTCATGAAGATTAGGAAGCATGAAATTATTACCTCCATCATAATAACATCCAAGAGGCTAAAAGCTGACAATAAATTTCCTTTGGACTGTGATACTGTGCTGTCATGCACTTGTCTCCAGTGGGAAAAAACACCCAGGCAGCAATAATTGTGTCCACAAGACTATTACAGCTAATGAGTTAAAAAACTGACCTACTTGACTGTCACGGTTAAAAATATAATGCCTAGACCTAATTTCATTGAAGCGCGTGCGATTTCATAAGACTTACATGCCCTTTACGAGTGTACTTCACCTGAACAGATATTCCATGGGCCTACCCATGCCTTGGATGTGCCTGCAAAGCCTTTGTGTTTTATCTAGTAAAAACTGGGAAACTATCATCAACAGAAAGCACTTTGTTCTCCTGTTTAAGCAGGATTATTGGAAATCCAAAGTGTTTCCATTGTTTGTGCTTCCCAGAAAAAGAGCATTTGCTTAGCTCATGTGTTGCTTGCCAGGAGAAGCATGGCAAGAACCAAATCCATAAAATAGGTTTCTGGGACAGTAGTACACAGAATGCTTGCCAGCCTTTTTCCAGAAAACATAAGCTGTTTCACAGAGCATTAAAATTAATACAGCTTAATATTACTTCCGCCCTAAATCAAATCAAGATGTTAAAGGGACAGAGAACCTTTTGATATAGTTATTATACTGATGTTATTTTACTCTCTATTGTCTTAGGACATTATCTAAGGTCTTTGGAGCCATGGAAAACCAATTTACTTCAGATAGCTTTTGATCCAGCTACAAGGTTCTTCCACCTGTCTATAATGAACTGCAAAATCAAACTGTGCTTCAAGCAAAAATTCCCAGCACTTGCAGTATACTTACTTAAAATACAAGTATGCTTTAGAGTATAAATGACTATTCAACAGGAGACATTACAACCAGCTTTAGGATACAGCACATGTTGGCATGAACTTATCTCTTTAAGGAGATCATACCTGCATTTGAACATTTTAAAAATCACTGCAAGCCTTTCTTTTAATCATTTGGTATAACAAAAACAACACCTGGGCTAATGAGTGTGGAAGACCCTGCTTGGACAGTCAGTAGAAAACTAAATTGAAGTTTATTGTTGCTCTGCCACAGACCTGCTACGTAGCCTTAGTCAGTCACTTTATTCTCTCATCATGATAGAGTAGGTATACAAATACACCACTTCCCAAAATAAGCAAGCAACTCAGGATCCTGAATCACACTTTTCAGCAGAGACCTTCTCAAGGGTCTCAGTTCCCGTAGTACCTAGCTGACCTTCAGCTCGGGCTGACCCTCTTATGGGACATGAAGAGAGAGTAGCGCAGTTCTGCTCTGGTGATATCCCAGGGAGCTTCAAGTGAAGCTGTCCATGTCTCCCCTACACAGTCCAGCATCACACCAAGGAAACACAGCCAGCACTAGGTAGAGGTAATGATCATAAGCACTGAAAGCCATGCAAGCATGTCAGCACAACACTGGATCTATGCTGATACATGTTGCCTGTGTGTGATCCATCCCTGGAGGTAGCTTCAGTTAGAAGATGTCTCCCCACCGCTCTGTTGCATAGAGCACGCAGAGCCTCTGAGTGGTGGCAGAAAGACACGTTTGGTAACGATGGCTCAGGGGCATTCTGAAATCCTCCTTTGTGTGAGTTGGCTGTACTGGTTGAGACACTTTACAAGGCTTTTCCATACAATGGCTCAGTTGGATGGAAGCTGTCACTTAGCCCTCACTGCCAAACAGCCCCTTGTGTGTCCTGTAGGCATGACCTACAGCATTACTTTTAATCAGTTTTTGGGACCAGCAATAAAAACCTGCCTTTTGGACAGGCAATCACCAGTACTTTGCCTAATTATTGTGCAACCTGCAGCCAAGTTTCCTCCTAGGGAAGAGAATCAACCACCTTTCTCCTTGCACTCCTCCAGCAATGGGAGAGAAATCCTGCATCCCAGTGCACTGCACTCCTATCTGCTGACACTGTGGGTGGGACATGCAATAACGGGCTTAAATCATGGCAGGGGAAATTTAGGCTAGATGTCAGGGAAAAATGCTAACGTTGAGGATAACAAACACCAACACAGATTGCTAAGGTGAAATCACCGTCACTAGTGATTTTTAAGAAGGAATAAAATAACTACATTTATCAGGGAGATGAACTAGATGGCTTGCTGAGATCCTTCCCGTGATGCAAAGCAGAAGAAACAATCAGTAATGAGAAAAGCGTGCAGGAGGCGCTTACCGGTTGGTGTGAGAATTGCAGTGCATGAACCAGCTGCGGTTGTTGTCAACGTACATGGCCCATGCCTTGTCGTCCTTGCCCAGCATCATGTCCTTAACGACGTTAATCCTGGCAATGCCAAAGGCTGGATCTGGATGGTTGTCATACCGGTCCACATGCAGCTCCCAGTAATGCACACCCTTGGAGAAGGCTGCTGTGCCAAGAACAACCCGGTCATCGTAGCTGTTGCAGGTGGCAGTCTGGTTGTCGTTCGACAGCACTATGTCTCTGTGAGCTGAGGACGGGTCGAAGGTGAACCATGCCACTGTGGAAGGGGAAAAGGAAAGGCAGGATTATGGCAGAACAGGCTGTGTTCAAGTGTGGTCTGCTTTACTTCAATTACAAGAATGAGATTCTGCCTTCCTAAAGACCCCACTGCACTTCCAGGTAATAAAGACAATCTTTCCTCGTTACTGTAGGCAGCTACATGAGATTGCTCTGAGCTGGCACCCTGCTGTTTTTTCAGCTCAGAAGTGCCTTATATTATCTGTACTTGTTCCTCTGAATGTAAGCTGCTAAAGGACAGTGACTTTCTGTCCTCACACAGGCTACCGAAAGTCATTGAGGAGGCAAAGGCTCCTCTCCTCTCCATGACATGGAAATTGCTCACATAGGTGAATTGGTTCAGGATTGCCTTTCATGGAAATGGATTTCCACTGTGTTCCTGCTGGTCAGGACTGACTTCACTGCTTTATCAAAAGGGGAAAAAAAAGAAAGAAAAAAAAAAAAACAACCCACAACAGAAAAAGCTGTTAAAGTATATGTATTTTATACTGGTATATTTTGGCAACACAGCACAAAAATGGAAGTGATAATAGCATGCACTTCTTGATTCATTACTATATCATTAATGAAGATGAACTTCTTGTAATGCCCACATGGATGTCAAGTATAATTACAGACAAAGACGTATGAATTCCCATCTCTGTATTATCAAACCTTGCTGTGAAATTGAAACAGTAGTGAAGAAAAAGTCAAATTCCAAATATATATGGAGAAGTGGAGACAGAGTGGCACAAAAATATCTCATGTGTTGCACAACTGCTTCTGTATGCTAAAGCAAATAAGAATTTAGTTAGACCCCAGACTTCTACAGCCTAATCAAACTGCATGATTTGAAACCTGAAGTGTTACTGACAATGGGAAATCCCCAAAAGTGCTAGGTGGAGAGCTCAGACACTGTACACACTCAGTTCCTGGCCTCTCCGTTCAGGTGATCCAAAATCTGCATGCCAGTAAGTGCCAAAGGTATTGGTGGGTATAAAGAGATGCAAGTGTCCTGCCACTGAGACCTGCAGCTTTTCACTTAGAAACTGGCAAAACCACAACTCACCATCCGACGTCTGTAAAATAACTGTCTTGCTGTAAGGGCCAACCCCTGAAGAGTTGAAAGCTTTGACTCTTGCATTATAGGTACTGTTGAAATGAAGGCCATCGATAGTGCAGAGAGTCTCCTTGCCAACATACACTTCCTAAACATTCCAAAAAAAAGGAGAGAAAGAGGGACATAATTTAACTGTTTCACTGTGCCTTGTGATCACATGTTAAGCCTTTTAAATAGAAGCCACAAGTGAACAGCTTCTCATTGCTTCCCAGGATGTAGAAGTTATGCTGCTATAACATGGACAGCAGTGGAGACATCAAGGATGGTTAGCAGGGGAGACACTAAGGTGAAGATGAAGCTGGAAGGGTACAGCAATAAAGATCTTAATTTTTTTTCTCTTTTCCTAAACATCTACTCCAAAACACTATTTTGGATAGTAGTCCCAGTGTCTGACCAACTGTGGCCATTCTTACATTTATGTAGGACACAAAAAAGCGGGGGGCATGGAAGAATTAAAAAAACGAGTAAGCACAGTTTTAATCTGTTGGAAAGGTTGTCTCATGCCTGTGTTAAAATATAATTTTGAAACCTCCAATCACAGAGCCAGAAGAAACTGATCATCTAAAGATTTGAATTCCATCTGTCACATGATGAAACAGCAACTAGACAACAGAGACATCACAGAAGCCTGCAAAAAAATTATTAAATAGCAAGCACTTGTGTCATGTGAAATATTTCAGGAGGAGGAACATCTAGGAAGACTAACAAAGAGGATCAGTCGGATTATACATTCTATGATGAACTGAAAGAAGCCTAGAAACCTCAAGTTTGTTGAAAAACTGAACAGAAAATGACAGAAAAGGAAAAACTCCTGTCTTGGCAGTGGATTGAAAGCCACAATTCCTTTCCACCTCCAATTTCTCTGACTCTGTGAAATCCATAGGTTTACAGTAGCAAAGGCCATAAAGAGCTTAAGACTGTGACTAAGCAGACCACTGAGGCCCAAGTTCAGTTAAGACACTTAAGTATATGCCTAAGAGTAGTCCTGTTGGTTAAGGCTCTTTGATATGAACCTAAAGTGAATTAAATATGTGATGAATAAGAAAGGGATTACTTTAGTTTACAGCCGGCCATGTGTTTGTCCACTTGCTACCATAGTGGCTGCTACGAATAACAAAGTCTCTTGGGTCCTGTGTTAGCTAATGATCTTCCATAGAGAGAAAGAAGAGTTTTAATAGAATAGCTTAATTTATCTCCATGTTACAACATATGCTATTTGTGCAAAAAGTTGTATTTATAGGACAACTCTCACATCTTCTAATCCATTTCCTATTTTTAACACTGTTCACTGCTTGTGTTTATTCAGATTGATGCTCTCTGCTAGGATGGGAGACAAAAAACATACTTCAAATCCACCCATCAAATACCGATAAAGTGCAGTCAGTGTCACTGCTTTCTGATATATAATCCTTCATGAAAAGGGTCACCACACTCTTATTGAAATGGCATTGCTGAGAAGGCTGCAGTTTATCTTTCAATTGGTAAAGTTGAAAGCAAAGCATTCCTCTGAGAAGTTATCACCCTAGATTTTTAAGAATTTAGACGGTTTTGTATCTTCTTCAATCCAAAATCTTGACATGGCAGCACTGGCAGTCCTAAAACCTTTGCCAGTTACAAAACCCCCCACACAAATGGGCTTGGATAGCACCAGCCCGAGATCTTTGTTATTCACAAGTATTTATTTAAATAACACTCAAAAAGGTTTATCCAAGACACTGGATTTTATAACACCTCGATCCTGACTGAATTATTTCTGTAGTTTGTTTATCAGGATGCGGTGAGAAGGGACGGGAGCCTATAAGTACCCTGCACCTACAGCCAGGAGCAACCATTTGTGGCATCACCCCGAGGGGCTGGAAGGACAGCCTTCACATACATGCTTAACAACCTCATCACAGCGTGTCTGTGGAAAGCTTCCACCAGCCTGGTCACATCCACCCCCAGAGCAAAGGTTTAGAAATCCCGTATTTTTATGCAGGATTCCATATTTACTCAGAAAAGCAGGAAAAACTGAGTTGCATTTCTGGACCAAGAATCTCAGCTGTTGAAACGGGGTGCTATGGTCAGATGAAAGTATGGGCTTCAAAGAAAACTCTGTTTTGTGGAATGAATCACTTTCAGCTCCTGTAGACTTGTATGGGATTTTCTGTTCTGGTACACTCCAGGTGGACCTCAAGACCCTCTTTGCCCGAGCCCTGAGAATAATCTCAACCAAACTTCCTACCTAAACTGGGGGTCCTTCTAATAAGCAGCATCTGCACTGCTTTCTACATCCACACGACGGAAGCAGGGATGTTTTGACAACCCTCTCCCCACCCTCGGACAGACAGAAATCTGTGAGGAAACTCACATACAAAGAAACACAAATAAATGCTGAATGAAATTCTCACTCGGAATTGGCCACCATCTCCATCATCAAGTTCCAAGATGTAACCCTCCACTGGGTTGTGGCTCAAAGGTGGCATCCTCCAGGCCAATGTCACACTGTTGTTCCTGGTGCAACACTTCTCCAGCTGCAGTAATGGGACGGGTGGCACTGTAACAGGAACTGGGTACAGATTAGTGTAACTCTGCCCTACCTCCTCAGTCTGTACCACAAGCAGTGTGATGACTGCTCACCTCCCTCCGCTCGCAGGGAAGTCAATATTCGTTAGGAAGGGGGTCGATTCTCTTCCTTGAAACAAAAGGCAGTAAAAATGATATAACAAAATGTTGTTACTCAGTTGGACAAATAATTTGGCTGAAATACATAAACAGAAACATATCTGGACATGCTTCTGATGCCTCATAAGAGTTACAGTCTGGGGACTTCATGGCTGGCTTCCTTTCCAGGGTTCACTGGTTGGAAGAGTTTTTTCTCATGCTCAAGCACTTTGCCCATGATGTCCTCAAAAGGAGAGATGGAGCAGCGGTGGCAAGGGTTGTCTCAGGCCATGGGGCAGAATGGGAGACACAGTGCTGTCAGGAAGCCCAACTCATTAACAAAGAATCGGGTTATTAACCAGCAGAGCAGCCACTCCTCCCAGCACAGCAGCAAGATAGAGCCTGAACTCCGATGACAACAGCAAAACAATTCATCAAAACCACCTTGGGCATGTTAACTTTATGGCAGTTGAAGAAAATTGTTCCATTTGCAAATTTCATCTAAATCTCTTGGTTCAGGTAGTAAAAGGAACTTCTGCACCACAGGAGACTGCTTGTGGATCTCTCCTATCGGAAATTATGGGTGCAAAGTTATCTACCAACATGCCTTTTTAGAGACTTGCTCAGGAGAAACATCAAGAGGCTGCTGACCAGTCCAGCATCTTAAAAATAAAAATAAACAGAGTAAAACATTCAGCCATGCCTTTGTGGGAAAGAGGCCTCCACCACACCTTCTCTACTAAATACAACTAAACTCTCACTGTTCACTCTTTGCTGGAAATTATAAAGTGAAAATTCAGCCTTCTGGAGAGATCTGTCATGTGTCTTATGCACTGCTGAAATTGCACAGGTTAAGTGGGATGTAAATGATCCGTAGACTCTGCCTGGTCTCCTGCCCAAGGCTGAATTTCATCGTTCAGGATCATTTCTGGAGAGCTCAACCAAGTCTTGCAAAGAGCTGAGTGCTCTGAGCATTCATTGACTTAGCTTTTAACAATGTCAGTTTGCTCTTCTTTTATCTACTGCACTTTGAGCCTCTAGTTTATTTTTCTCCCACTGTCTGCGTGAGAGCTAAGCCCTTGAGCTGTTCCTTTTGTCCTCTTTTACCTCTCTGGATAAAAGAGGACTGTTCATGTTTTGTGTACCAAGCAGTTTGTGGGAAAATGGACGTTATTGTGTGATGGGGCTAAGGCTTCACCCCCACTTTGGAAGTGACACAAAAGTCAACATTACATTTGTGATAAACAGTGCAGAAGCTACCGTGGCTTTCCACTGGCATTACCCATCACCACAGTGAATGCAGATGGTTGGTAGCCCAGACTGTGGTCTGAAACAGAAGAGCTTTATAAATTAGGTCTTGAAAGTTTTTATGTGAAAAGAGAAAAAAGCGCCTTGTTTGTATTCTTTGATATTTAAGGATGATTCAGAGGGTGTCACAAATAAAAACCTGCTTGTTTTCACATGGAAAGTTCAGACTTTTCCCTAGGAGACTTTGTGTCTGGAGAAGTAACAGAAACGTGACGTTACAAGAGTCAAAAACCTGCAAATGAGGAATTCAGAGGTAATGGTACTAAGTGAATTATTTTAAGTTTACAGTTTTGTTTGTGTTTGTTAGCCTGTTACTTCCAGTGATTGATGAGCCTGGGAGAAGATAGGGCTGTATCATCCATTCACACTCCTGCCACTTTAGCTAACCTGTTAACCCTCTCAGGAGGCATTCACTGGGTCCTCCCCACTTCTGAGACTTCCCCTGGCAAAAATGGATGAAAACCTAATTCCTAAGTTTACAAAGTGCAAAATACACAATGCCTCACCTCTGAATAAACCACTGACCTCTCCAATCCCTTGCAAAACTCTCCTAGGAACACTGACAGGATGCTTTCAGGGACTGTTCACATAATGCACAACACTGAAAAAAAACCCCTGAATTTTGGGGGAAGGTAAGTGTTTTATGAGTCCCTTTTAATTATGGAAACAAGAATGCTGTCTAGGATTAGAATATGTTTTCATACAGCAAAGTGCTGTTGCTCCCACTTCCAAGGGGCAGGGTGAATTTTGGCCCTATGTGTGAGAGTCACGCATACTATGGGGAAGTGCCTGGGCTTCTTTACTGTGTCGCTGGGCATCTAAGTTTTTGTGAGCGATCCTTATCAGCCTCCTACTCCCCCTGGGCCAGCCTGTGCCCTGAACTGCACAACCTACAGTAGCTGAAGGAGGGGTAAGAAGCTCCCACCACGCAGCCATGCAGTTTTGCTGAATGACACTTGCTGTGGCTGCTCTCCTGCCACCTCCCCTGACGCAGATGGGTAGAGATTTGCCTTGACCTCAAATTCCCTCTGGGAGGAGATAGGTGAACACTTGTTATAAAAGTCACAGGAAGTGGGAAGCAAGTTGAATAATCAGGACATTGGGATATATTTCACAGTGAAATGTAATGGGACAGGACTAAGAAAAGAAAAATATAGGTTAAGTGACAGAAAAAAAAGAAGACTCATGTTAAAGTACAGTGCTGTCCCACTTCTTGTTCAACTTAAAGTCCTCAAGAGAGTTTTTGAAGGAAAAAATTAAAAATATAAAGGGAGAAATGATACTGCATTGGCACAGCAAGACCTATTAATGAGTCTGAATTATGTCCTGCTATTTTAAAAGTGCTTCATGCAGGTCACACTTGGCTAAAAAATGTGATACTGATGTCTCACGTCAACTCAGCAGTTTCAAAACCATATTGCTCAATGCATCTCACAGCTGATCTTAATGTAGTCTGTTATTTGTCCTCTTGACAAGCAGGTTGTGCCATGATGCCTTCCACCTTCCCAGATTAATTTTTAAAGGACTAAATGCAGTGAAAGAATGGGAGTCTCAGAAGCATGAAAACTTTTGACCTCTTCCAAAATTGCAGTATGGCCCTGTAATAGCCTGAGTCACTGCTGTAGCAAGTTCCCTACAAACAGTGTTATTGAGAGAAGGAAAAACCACAGGCAAAGACCCAGATCCATGATACAGAGCAGAGAGAACCAGGGACAAAGTCTACGATGAAATGGTTACTCTTTCATTATCAAGGATGTGCAGCTCATGATTGGAGAATCAGAGAAGATTTGCAGCAGGTGATGCATCTGGGGAATCTTCCTGGACTGGTTTGCAGAAGAGGGAAGGAGTCACTGGAGAAGGAGCGTATGAGTGAGTATTCAGAGGTGGCACAGAAAAGCAGAAAGTAGCTATATTGTTTCCTATTTTGGTCCCAGTCTCCATTTTACAACAAACCAAGATTGCATGACAGTTACAGCTATCAGAACAAAACAAATCTGCAACACAAATTTGCCTGTGTCCACAGCTTGAACTGAGGAAATGTGATGTACACATTGAGCTGGTCATCACAGAGTTCAGGAATTTTGTGCTGAGGCACTCGGAAAAAGTAAGAGAGAAAAAAACGTGGACAGAGTAAAGGGATCTGGGAAAGCTCAAAATGTCAGCAAACACTAGAGCTGTGCATGTGTCACAGCAGGTCAGCTAGCCTGGGGAGCCTGGGACTCTCGCCAAAGGGCTATCAGTGAGACCATATGGTCAACATGACTTCTTAAGCATTACTTCTGCACCTATCACATTTCTGTGCATTTAATTTGGTACCAAATTGCTTCTTATTTCTGTAAAAAGAAAAACCACTCCCTGTTCCTTACTTATTGAGATTAGCTTTAGATATGGACTTGTACAGAGTCCACCAGTAAGGTACATGAACAAGTCATCAAAGCAAATGTAATGTGATTTCTTCTCATTTTCATTCCTCTTTGTCTAATACAGTGAATCAGTGTTTACTTACAAGCAAGCTTTCACTCTAAATGACCCATGCAAGCTCACTGGGGTTGAATGAGGTCAGAGTTTGGAAAACAAAAAAAAAAAGAAAAGAAATTCAGTCATGCACTGAACATCGATAACAATAGTACAGACCTTACTTTGCAAAGATTTTGGAACAACTTGCAGTTGGAAAAGCAATGCTGGCTCTACGTTCCTGGGTTTCCCCAAAATTCCCCTTACAGATTGTCTCTGATGTCTTTAAAGCATCTACTCATGTCAGATCAACCAGGATAGTGAGTTAGTAACATTCCCCACAACACCAACTTTTGGCAAAGATTAATGATTTGTTGGTGCACTGGAGTAAGCAGGATTGGAGAAAGAGGAGCTGATGTGAAGAGACATATAGATTTTTCTTTGTGAAATTGGAGGCTCAGAAATAAACAAGTCTTGATGATGGCAAACAGCAAAACATCACTCTGCAACACCAGCTTCTCCTCACAGTCAGCAAAATGATGTTCCCAGTAAGTCTGGGTGCTCACTGCTGAATTACTGAGTTGCTTATTCTGTGGTACCTATATTTCTAGATACAAGACCACTATGCATGAGAAGGTAATGCAAAGCTGGTTGAGATCACAGAGGTAAAATTTCAGAAAAAAAATGCCAAAGTGTCAGATTGAGTACTTCGAATGCAAACAGATCTGCTGTCATAAACTGAAAAATGTACAGTTCTATATACTAAACAATCCTCAATACCTCTGAATGTTACCTCAGGACGGTAGTACAGACAGTAGTACAGAAAAAGTTGGTAGCTTTTTCTGCTTGGGCACACAAGCAGGAATAATGCCATCTCTTATGCACCTTCAGGAATGGTGACCAGAATAAATGACATTTCCACCATTCTTTGCATAGTGTGTACATGGTCATGCCAGTTGTGCTGACCAACCTGATAGGACATGCAGCAGGTACTCCCTGGTCAAGGCCAAGACAGGCTCAAGTAAAAGCCCTTCCTGAGAGCTAACTCTTAAGGTGTCTCTGGGGAGCAAAGCCCAAGGGGGTCTGTAAGCTCTGTGCAGGTTTGGGTAGAAGCAGTCCTGTCCTCTTCTCTGCTCCTCAGACCATGTCTATCTCAGTACCAGAACTGCAATCCTATGATAAATGACAGCATCAGAAGACAGCACTACCTTTCATAAAGCTCCAGAGAATCTGACTCAATTAAAGTATCTAAGTCTTCAAGCTTAAAGCCAGATGAATGTCCAAAAGCCAAATACCTAAGCTCCTCTCACCTCAAGTGACTTGTGGTTAATTAGCAATCTAAGTGGATAATTTAATTAAATTCTTTATATGTTTGGGAAGGAGAGTGGTGGAAGATCAGTATTAAATATATTTAACAATAAATATGGACAGCATTAAATATAAACTGATTTAAAAATACAAGTGAAGACAGTATTTGGAGAAGTTTTATCTCTTGAGATAAGCTCACTCTTGAGATTAGCTTTAGATATCTCTCACTCTTTCTCTCTTGACTCCACTTTTCTGGCTGTTAACATTTCAAAGGTGTTTTTTGAGTAACTTTAACACAGTCCGTTTATCATAGAATCATCATAGAATGGTTTGGGTTGGAAGGGACCTTTAAAGGTCATCTAGTCCAACCCTCTGCAGTGAGCAGGGACATCAACTAGATCAGGTTGCTCAGAGCCCCATCCAGATGGACCTTGACTGTTTTCAGGGACGGGGCTTCTACCACGTCTCTGGGCAACCCGTTCCAGTGTTTCACCACCCTCATTGTAAAAAATTTTTTTCCTTATATGTAGTCTAAATCTACCCTCTTCTAATTTAAAACCATTAACCCTTGTCCTATCACTACAAGCCCTGCTAAAAAATTTGTCCCCATCTTTGCTCTAGGCCCCTTTTAAGTATTGAAAGGCCACAATAAGGTCTCCTTGGAGCCTTCTCTTCTCCAGGCTGAACAACCTCAACTCTCTCAGCCTTTCCTCATGGGAGAGGTATTCTATCCCTCTGGTCATTTTTGTGGCCTTCCTCTGGACCTGGTCCAACAGGTCCATGTCTTTCCTGTGCTGAGGACTCCAGAGCTGGATGCAGTACTCCAGGTGGGATCTTACCAGAGCAGAATAGAGGGGCAGAGTCACCTCCCTCACCTGATGGCCACGGTGCCAAGATGCAAACCATTCTTGGTTTGCAGACTTTGGCCTTTAGCTCTTTATCCATTGTTTCTCCACATATTTATCTGCCAAATTATGCACCCTAATTACTTCATCTTGGGTCTCCTAGGTTCAGAATTAAGCCCAGAGAGGACAGATAAACTGAACAGAAATCTTTATGCCTGCTTGGAGTAAAAAAAAACACATCCAGCATCACAAAACAATTATCCTTAACTTATTCATTGACTTCTGGCAGCCTCTACCCTGCCACCCACACGGATAATTAAGGCTTGAAGCATCACTAAGGGAAGCTAATGGCATCATTTCCAGGGACCACAACGGCCTTCAAATCTAGCCTGTCTATGGATCTATCTAATTCTGATGCAGTTCTCATCCTGCTGCTCCATATAAACCAAGCTCATTACAAGCACATGATCATTAATTCTTTTTTTTTTTTTCAATGGCATCTACTGTTCATCAGCTTCTGCTTTTAAATACTTTTCTTAACCTCCTCTCCCTTTTTTGTGTCCCTCAGGATCATTCATATACCTGGAATCAAGGAAGGGTACAGACATTGAACTACTTTCTCCTTGTGAATCTCTGCCTCCCTGTTTTTTTTAAGCTGGGCACTGTTTGCAGCACAGTCCAGACATAAGTTGAAGGGGTTCTTTCCC